CTTACAGCACCTGGTATTCCCAAGCAGTCACCCATCTAGGTACTGACCAAGTTCGATGTTGTTTAACTTCAGTGATTGTATGGGAACAACTGTTGGAACATGATATGGCCATAAGCCGATATGACACTCTCCCAATTTACATTTAATATTACATTATTATAGAGTTTAAAAGGGGTGAGCAGGTAGTGTAGTGGTTAGCAGCTTGTAAAGTGAAGTCAGCAGACTGTGTTCAAATTTTGTTCAACTTTGTTGCATTCACTTTCACACAAATAACTTGAGGAAAGTGATGAATCCATCTTTTCCCCCTCCATCTATGGTTTAAATAGCAGAACAAACTGGGTGGTCTAGCCTTGATTGGAAACCAGTCTAGGAGAAGGTAACTCTGAATTTAAAACCAGTCGAGCCTAGAACTGGCAACTCCATCTCATAAAAGAAAAACAAAACATACTTGCTACAGATGTCACAGCAGCATTTAGCATGGTGGGACTGTGGCTCATTGCTCCATGGGGGAGTGGTATAAAAGAAGAGGAGGAAGAAAATAAAGGAGGATTTTGGAGGTAAACCGAGTTCAATACTGTAAAACATTGTCCGACCAGATATGACTTTGCATATGAGACCTGGGAGATATTTTTTAACCATTTTTTGGGTGTTTTAGGTGGGGGGATGTGGAGTTTTATATGCCATCAAATTTAGTAATCTACTTATCGTTGCTTGATACTGACATGCCATGATGTTTGACCAGGAAAAGTGAACTCTTTTGAAAAAAAACACCTGCCTCAAAAATAAACTAAATAATATTATTTTAAATTGTCAATTTTGACAGAAACCAATTTATTGTAATCTTTCTTTTTTTTTTTTAGGTTGGAGAGGTTATGCTTGCACTGATGATACGAACGCCAACCCTGACAGTCTAGAACTTGTAGCAGTCTTGCTACTGACTATTAGCAATGGCTTCTTCATCCCTGCTATCATTTTGGCTTTTTACCGACGCTTCTTCTTGGAGGGAACTGTCTACACCTTTACCATGTTTTTTTCTGCAGTAAGTTCAGTTCTCTTTTGTTTTTGAGGTTTTGAGATGTAAATGATCCATCAAGGGAAAATAATTATACACGCACACATGTGCACGTGCCTATGTATAGTTTGATTAAAAAGTTTTATTATATTTTTCCAATATTCGATTATGTTGTTTAGTATTGTGCTCAAAATTGTGAATAAAGTGTCCAAATATATATATATATATACATAATGTGCCAAAACTATCAACTTATATTGTTTTGAGTTGGCCTGCTTTAGACCACTCTGCCACAGATGGTGGTTTCCCTTATAAAGGAGGATAAAGGTTCAAATGCTGCTGGAGAACGCATTTCGTTTTTTAATAATTTCTGGAGTGCACAGGCGGATAGATGTAATACACAATGTTTAAAAATAGAAGAAAAAATCTATTCAGGCATAGGCATTCCCTAAAAATAATGTTTGAAGTAATAAAGATGTCAGATTAAAAATAAATGTTTTAATTCTTTAAAATTTGCTTATATATATGTGTGTGTGTGTGTGTGAAATGCACTTAGTCTGACAATTATTATACTGTATTTTATTGTTAAACGTTATTTATATAGACACAGATATTTAAGTAAATGCTTTGTTTATAATAAACAGTATTAACAACATTTACCGGCCTGAACATTAAAGAAATTTCATAGAAAATAGGTGTCCTCCGACAGGAATCGAACCTTTATCCTATACGGAACCATCATATACTCTGGTATGCTATCCCAGTTTAGCTATGAAGGAATATCTGGTAGCAAGGTCAATTTTAGACAAAAATAAATTAAAGTAGTTTAAGAAAATTTATAAACATTGTCATATCAAAACAACATGATTTTTTATGATAAACAAACTTTAACATGTTCATATACAACACTGAACCCTATCAGCAACACTTTGACAAAACATTTGACATATTTCGACACTACTTTCAGAAAATCTATCAGCAGTTGCTTGTTTTAGTTCAGGAATCGTTTTCAGTTTGAGCTTGCAAACGAGACCTTTTAGTACATTCCAGAAGAAAAAGACTGGTGATTGTGATGGCCAATCAAATATTCAAAAGCTGTTTGTTACTGTTTTGTGTGTGTGTGTGTGTGTGTGTGTGTGTATATGTAATAAATTATGACCCTGGAATATTAGTGTTTAAGCCTTTTTATTATATCCTTCATTTGTCCTGACATTGAGTTCTACCTGATTCTATCCTCTTGGAATGTTTTTATTAAAAAATATACATGTATGTGTATGCACCTATGTATATATATATATTTATATATTTTGCATATGTATGTGTATATTTACCACTAATATTATTATTCATCTATCTATCTATATTATCTATCTATATATATATATATATATATATACATATATAAGCAAATATATAGATATAATCTGATAATACGCATTAAGAATTAAAATCCTAATATGCGATTTAAACATTAAAACAGCATTTTATTTGTTTTTTGCTTGTTTTTTCAGTATATTTTCTTATATATATATATATATATATATATATATATATATATATATATATATAGTTTAATCCATTTTGATGACAAACTCCCCATCCCCAAGTATAGTTGATTTAGACGATAAACGAAATTTAAAATTAAATAAATTAGACAAAAAGTTCAGTAGTTAAATGGAAACCATTTTTTAAATTATTTTGAGCACTTTACCTTTCTGATAGACTTTGAAATGAATTAATGTTTAATGTTTTCAAATTATTTTATTAAGAATTTTTGTCATTGTTTTTATATTTTTCATTTTGTTTATTATTTTACTCTTTTTGAATATATTTTGAAAAAGTAAGGTTTTTCTTTAGTTATATATTTATTGTTTTACCAATTGATCTAACGATAGATAAATTAAATACCATAAGTAAAAAAAAAAAAAACATTCAAGGGAAGTAACTCTTTTATCTTTATGGTTGCCTCCCTTATAACGTGGCGATTAAAATCTGTTGCTGTTTGCTTAGTTTTCTCAAAAGCCTACATGTATGACCAGCAACAATGAGTATCGAACTCATTACTAATAATCAATAATTCTACATTGATAAAACGGTTTGTATCTGTTAGTTGGAATCTCTTTTGATTGATCGTTCATCAAACTATAACTGAGAACAAATCACACATATGCGTAAATTAAATTACAAATCATTTTGTAACAAAAACTAAATATATGTCAGTATGTTCAAATTTATTGAAAATTATTAAATGTTTTTAATTACAAAAGCTAATGCATCACAAACAGTCAAGTTTGCATATAACTAAGAGTGTTTATTCGCATCCAACGTTCGATTATTTGATTAAGAAAAATATTTTATTAGAAACATGGGAAAATATCTTCGGAGTTATCTCCCCTGCATCATAAATAGATATTTTTCCTGAATGATCCAAAACACGCATTTATACTCCTTGCGTAAAAATAGTTCTCTTTTTTAATATTGTGTAAGTAGCATTTGTGTTCGTGGTATGGTTTGCAAAAAAACTGAGAGATTGTTATTATCTTATATTTCAAAATTGAATCTAAACTCTTAGCTAATGTAATCATTTTAAAAAAAATTATAGTTAGGGTTTATAAATCACTGCTTCTAGTTTGAATTCTATGAAATCGCTAAAAAAAAGAGCATAGCATGATGAAAAAGACGCCAAACTTAACGAAAACAAAATATCGTCTAAATGTTCATGTTATTATGAAGAGGAAAGACCAAAGTTTATTTTAATTATTGTAAAAATTTTTTCGTTCTTTTTATTTAGAACATTCTAAATATTGATTAAAAAAAACTTTTTTCTCTTTGTATCACCGGAACTAATGTACACTTCTGATAAAATTTCATAAGAAAGATACCTATAAATTAATTAGATACCTTTCTTATGAAATTTAATTTCACTCTTAACAGTCTTATTTTAATTTCTTTATAATATATTTTCAATAAAGCATCGTAAACGTAAAGGTGAAAGCTAAGTACAAAAAAAAAAAAAAAAAATTAGAGCATTGAAAGTTTTCCTTAAAAATAATGAGGTAAATAATTTGTTAAACTTAAGTCTAAATAACTTCACTTTTCTCCTTCATTAGAACAAATTATCCTCGCGTAATCTGTCAATATGTAGTGATAGGGTTACCATTGTTGTTTATTTCCGACGGGATCATCAAATATGTAACTTGTATTATCATCGTTGTAGTGATTGAGTTACCAATATTTAACTAGGGCTAGGAAAGATGAGATTAAGGACAATGCGTGAAAGCAATGCAATTTATACTTGACGTAAATAGCACATAGAATAAAATACAAAACTGAACTGAATGATTCCAAAACATAACAATTAGATTTATCAATGTTTGATGTATATGAATGCGAACTGAAAAGGTAGGGCAGAGTCGTGTCCCTTTGATTAGGTATTAGTTGTACCGGAGTTCATATTAAGAAAGTTTGGAATTGTGAATTTGCAAAGTTGGTAAAAGTTCAGGAGTGATTTCAGAGTTTGTGAATGTTGGTAATTATCTTTAACATCTGGCCAGCAATGACTAAGACGGGAGTCGGTGAAGGTTACATCTTGGCACTTGGTAACTACTACTCAAAAGTTCACATGTGTTCAGTTATATAATGGTCAAGTGGTTCTTTTAGCATATGAGCGGGAAAACAGATTGTCACGTGCAGGCGGTTTGATTGGTCTGAACTGACCAATCAGCAAGCTAGATTGGAGGTGATTGACCAATGAATACTTGTTATATTGTATGAAAGTAGAATTTTACTTACCAGATACGAAGAGTGCATTTCCTAAAAATAGGTAAGGCTGGTTTGTTGTGGAAGATTCCACAAATACATCATTCAGCACTTGTCAAGTGATGCAAAAGGTTATGACCTTCTTTGTTTTATTTTTAAACCATATCTTTTCTATGCAAATGTAAGTTAAGCTTGGTTCAAAATATTTTAAATAAACATTATAATTTCTGATTTTCTTAAATATGTTTTGGAAAAATGATAATTGATTTTTAAAAGAATTTCAAACTGAGATTTTTCATTTTTTTTTTTTATAAAATGGGAAAAAATGGTTGCCATGATTGATTATCTGTCAATTTTGCTGACTCAAAAAAAAAATTTCAGACGTGCTAGGAATGATTAAAAAATGTAAAAAAATACCCCGAAAATACTTTAATCTTTCCTCTTAATAATGACATAAACATTTAGACGATAAAATTTTGTTTTCGTCAAGTTTGGCGTCTTTTTCATCATGCTATGCTCTTTTTTAGTGATCTCATGGAGTTACCTAGATTAAAATGAACAATAGACAAAAATTACGCATGCAAATGACGAGTCATCATTACTTGCAGTAATGCAAGTAAATGAAACAATTCAACAGGCAATATTTTCATGTCATACTGGAATATATATTGGAAGAATGCTTATTCTAATAGAGTAGAATTCCCCAAATCCTAACATAACATAATCTAGACTTCCTCAAATTTGGACTAATCTTCAAATCCGAATTTTTGTATCGACATAAATATGAAGCTTTTTCTTCTTTAATTCAGAATATCCTCAATACCAAATACAGATTGTAATTGGTTTTGAATAAGATATTTCGTAAATTTTTAAACATTTCATAAAGTGTCTTAGTTTTTTCACAAATTACAATATTTGTTTAGCACAAATTTTTTCATAACTATAGGTTGACAATTATTTTTTGTACGTTTATGTATTCAATCTACACTTTAAATAAAAATGAATCAACGTTATAAACTACCTTTTGTTTCCTAAACTCTAAAACTTAATAAAAATTTTAAACTTGCTACAGCAGCCTTTACTTTCTCGTATCCGAACTGTACCCTCAATACCAAACATCTTGGATTTTCAATTTGGAGAAGATGTACTGTAATTTGCTTATTTCCCAGTCATATCACATATTTCAACAGAGTGAAATAAGAGAGGTTTTGTTGAATCTATGGTTCTTTCTTTAATGTACACTACCTATTGTTTATTTTATTAACTACTTTACTAATACCATCAAAAAATGAAGAAAATATTTAAGTAATTTCATATTTATTTTGGTTATATATTCTGGGTGGTTAATCTTGGATTTTTATTGATACAATTAACTCTGTTGTCATGTATAATAAAGAATTTTGTTTTTAAATTATTAGAAGTAAATATATCCAAATATAAACAGTTTATGCCACAAGATTATCAGGCAGTTAACTGTAGTGGATATATATAGTAGCAGAAGTGGCAGCTGCCTCACACATTTATGCCCTTAATGCCTGACATAAAATCCAGTATTAACTATGAAAATCAAAATCAAAATCCAGTATTAATTATGGAAATTAATATTAAAATCCAGTATTAATTATGAAAATTAAAATCCAGTATTGATTTTGAAAGTCAATATTAAAATCCAATATTATTAGGTTGTCTCAAAAGTTCGTAAACACTTGCGAAAAATTGAATTTTTATGCAATTTTTAATTGTTTTTGGAAGTGCATTGTGACATCGAATGAGAAATGGGTCTATCTGGTCCAGCACAATCTAGACAAGCGATGGGTTCAGAAAGGGCAAGAAACACTGTCGGTTCCAAAACAAGATCGATTCGGCAAGAAAGTCATGGAACTTTGAAGGAATCGTGCATTTTGAGTTGGTTCCGAATGCTCATGCCATCAGAGCTGAACTTTACTGTCAGCAACTGGAGCGGGTCTATGAAAAGTTGAGGCAAAACTACCTGGCTCTGATCAACCGAAAGCGTGCTTTGATGCAGCAGGACAATGCCAAGCCACACACCGCCAGGAAGACCAAAGACAACTTTGAAGAGCTGGACGACGTTGAGGTTCTGCTACATCCAGCTTACAGTCCTGACTGTGCTCCATCGCCAATTCGACTCGTTTGATGAAGTTGAGGAAGCGTGTCAAGAATTCTTTGATTCGAAGCCGGCTGAATGGTACTTTCACCAGATCTGAAAGCTTGCAGATCGATGGCAGACAGTCTTAGGAAATGATGGTCTTTATTTTGAGGAATAATTTTTGTTGTTTTTGTTATTACTTGGCGAGTAAAATTTCAATTTTTTGCAAGTGTTTACGAACTTTTGGGACAACCTAATAATTATGGAAATAAGAATAAAAATACGGTATTAATTATGAAAATTAAAATTAAAATCCGTTATTAATTACAGGCTCCTAAAAAAAAGTTTGGTATTAATGATGGTTTTAAAAAACTTATTTTAAGCTTTTAATTGGATATTTAATAAATAAAAACAAACAAAAAAAACAAAACAACATCCCAATGTGTCTGCTTTCAAGAAATGTATCTGTAAATGACTCTGTGAATTTAAGTAAAGCATTTACAGCAGTAGAATAGAAATTATAGCACCAGATTTATTATATTTTGGAATGCATCAAAAGGATTTTCATTTCCCCTCTATTCTTTTGAAGTCTATATTTCCCTGGATCTTTTTGAAGTTCTTGATGGGCCAGTATTTGATTTCTCTTTCACCTTTTGTCTTAAATCATCATAATCAACAACTGATGGTCATTTCCTTATGGGCCTTATTTCAAGGGAAATGTCACAACCCCTTAAAATGCTGAAACCAATCTTGAACAGTTGGAACAGATTTAATTTCCTTCCACTTGCATAAGCATCTTTACAAATTTGGGGACTTGGTTTAGTACAAAGCCTCCAAATTAACAGAAGCTCATTATTTGTTTCTGCCATCATATAATAATATTTCATTTGGGAAGTGCCTGAAAAACACCACGGATTTGGAACGTGCTTGAAAACCATACCGCAGATTTGGAACGTGCTTGAAAACCATACCGCAGATTTGGAACGTGCTTGAAAACCATACCGCAGATTTGGAACGTGCCTGAAAACCATACCACAGATTTGGAAAGTACCTGAAAACCATATTACGAATTTGCGAAATGCCTGAAAAACAAACTAAGAATTTGAGAAGTGCCTGAAAAGCAAAAATTGCAGCTGAATAGTGACAATTATATGATTATTTTTATTATTATGGTTATTAAATCAATCTGATTTGGTTCGGGATTTGAAGAAGTTATAAAACATGACTGTTGAAGTAAGGGGTGCACTTAGAACACTGTCTAGAAATTTGAAAGAGTGCTTATTAAAATTGAAACCAATATTGTAGACCTCCAGGAAATTGGCATTATTTACTTTGTGAGGATTCTTCAAAAAGTTCTGGATTTGTGAGGATTTTTTGTTGACCCGATGTGCCTTCAGGAAGAGAATTCTGGTTAGTTACATCAAAATCAAAATATGGAGCTTTGATTATACTGCTGCAGGTTTCCCAGTAACTGGGGGAGGCAACAGTCGGCTAGCTTTCTCTCCCTCTTTCCAAGCATTCCTGTCAAGCAGGGTAATGTGAGCCAGGCCACATCTTCTACATCTCTCCCAATACATCCCTTCCACATCTTCCTAAGTCTACCTTAACCTTTGTGACCAGGAACACTGATCTCCAAGACAGTCCTGATGCATGACAGAGCTCATTGGATATGACCAAACCACCCAAGATGACATGTGCGCAGCACGGATGTTATATCCTCAATACTGTAAACAACTCTGAAGAGGGGGTTTAATAATAGATAGTTTTTAGATGTGTACATGAAAGAAATTTTCAAATAAATGCCTGTAAAAAATGAATACTAAAATCAGTTGTTTTGTCATGCTAATCTCTTCAGGAATTCACTATAAAACCCTTGGCAAATGTAAGCTCAAGTATTTTTTTTTTTTTGGTGAATTGTTCATTCTGCTCTGGTTAGGTTATGATTGAAGACTTAATTGTTAAAGCAGAGAAGCCTCCTTTACTTCTATATTTATTTCTTTTCCAGATATACCATGCCTGTGATGCTAGCAATTTATATCAATACTGCATGATGCGTTATGAAGTTCTCAGCTTCAGTGACTTTCTCGGCAGCTATATGGCTGTGTGGGTGACACTTATGGTCATGACACGGCTTCCTGACAGACTGCGGACCATTTTTGTTGTCATGGGGGCTTTGTTTTTGGCCTTGGCTGTTGACTATGACAAACATGGACTACTTTTAAATATCATTCCTTTGGTGCTTGGGGCTATGATGGTGTTTTTATCTTGGGTATGTATAGATTTTTGGTACTCTTCCAATTAAAATTTGTGCTGTAGGAATAAAAAAGACTTATATCCGATTATATATATATTTCATATATATGAAATATTTGTGTTTTTAATGAATTCAGTTGTTGGAGTTAGCTCCTCCTTAATTCTCTAATTGTTCATTAGGGGTCGCTCTCCCTAGACTATAAATACTGGGCAACTTCTTGCCTCATTCTCTTTTTCACTTTGCATTTCAGCGGACTAAAAATGTAATCTCTCGTAGAGATCTGCATCTTTCCATTTGTGGAAGACGCCATGAACATTATACACACATACACATACATACAAACATTCACCAAAGAACAAATGTTCACATACACGCAAATGTTAATGTCTATGTCCATTTTTAAAATTGTGTTGTTTAATACATATATTTGTTGATATATATATATATATATATATATATATCAGTCTTGTTTGTTTTCTTTTCATCTTTGATTGGACTCAATTTGAGTTTGCCATTTTCTCGTAGTTGGACCTTCTTCTAGCAGGAAATAAACGCATGTGTCCTAATACAACACTCAAACTCACACGGTCCTCTACACACTCATTAAATAATTTATATTATTTGTAATCTGGATAAAGATGTTGAAAAAAATTGTTGACCCATTGTATCAAATCATAAAGAACTTGATTCTTTCTGCCATACTTTATTTTTGCAAGAATCAGATTGAACCAAAAATAGATTATTGCTGTTATATCTAGGCTGGTGCTGCATGATCTTCATTTTCCGGCCTTGATAAAGTACAAAGTTGCTGACATGATTTTCCACTTCATTTTCCGATGCAATGTCACAAGTCTGATCAAATTTCCACTGCAAATGTTTAGATAAGTGCTTCCTTCTTTAGTTCCACCAGTTCAGACTTTCACAACTAAAACCTACAAGGTTACATCCACAGAATCAAAGGACTCATTTTTTATTTCAAATGAAATGATTTTCCACTCTGTTTGGAGAACACACCCCACATGGATGCTTCCTTGAAGACTACAATCTGAACCTCTTTGATGCAATGTCTCCAATTCTCTAATCTGCACTTACTATTCTTTACATTCATCCATTCAGTAACACTATCTTATTTCCACTAGAAAAACATGGTTAACGGTTTAAAAATGTGTTGATGTATTTGTTTTTAATTTGTTATATCTTCTTGTATCTGTCTATATTTTTGAGATAGTTCCTATTTACAGTTCAGACTATTGTCACAACATGTTTAAAAACAAGGTTACATCTGGCCTTCAAGTGGGTGGAATCAAAACTGAACCCCCCTTTATTTCGCTCTCTGAATTTTTTATTTTAAAATTGTTCAGTAATGGATTTTTCAAATGAAATGATGAAATTCCACTCAACTTTTTCTTTGGAGAACACACTCCCACATGGATGCTTCCTTGAAGACTACAATCTGAACCTCTTCAAGTCAAGAGTCAGTTTTACCTATCCTCCATATTCTCATAATCTGCACTTACTATTCTTACATTCATATCCATGACCTCACTCAGTAACACTATCTTGAGGTACTCTTGAGCTTTGTATCTAGAAAAAAACATGGTTAACGGTTTTAAAATGTGTTGATGTATTTGTTTTTTAATTTGTTATATATCTTCAGTATCTGTCTATATTTTTGAGATGAGGTATTATGTACACTATTTACATTATTCAGACTATTGTCTTCATTTTTGTCGCCATGTTTATCACGTTTCAGCCGTTGTACGCTCTGGCCTTCTTCAAGTGGGTGGAATGTCAAACTGAACCCTTTATTTCGCTCTCTGAATTTTTATTTTAAAATTGTTCAGTAATGGATTTATGTGAAAGAAATCTTAGCAGCAATCAGCTGCCTTGCCACTTTAGGTAGACTTCTCAGTGCATTCTGTCGGACAAGTGCAGCCTCTGTGATGTCCAAAGAAGATTAAAGGCAAATACAACACAGAAAATCTTATTTACCTGGTGCAGGTTATGCCTACATTGGGTAGGATATGGAATTGAAAACTAATGTTAGCTCAAGTCCTAGAGTAATTTTGTCCCTAATGCACACGTGTGTGGGCTGCCAACACTCTGTTGTGTCTGCAGTTAAATCCTTATAATCCAGAAAATCAGCATTGTGGGTGATAGTGGGGTTCTTCAATACCTGATTCATGAATAAAAACTTGCTATTGATTGATTTGCCAGTAGAGATAACTGCTTGCATGGGTAATGTAGATATAGGAGAGTGGTTTACCCTAATGTTCACTCCCATTCTTTTAAATAAAGAATGCACAGAGCCTAGTCAAGCAGAAAGATGAAAACAGCAAACCATGTCTTTATGCTTCATTGTCAAAAAACTGGCATTTCATTGTTTATAAATTTTAAAAGAGTTATTTAAAATTGTAATATGCTTTTTACCATACCATCAAATCTCATTTTCATTTCTCTGTGACTGTGATCCCAATATTTTAACTGATCCATTCTGCAAGATGACCTGTCTATATGGAAAAAAAGAGAGAGAGTCTTTTACCAGGAATTTTACTCACAATTACTCTGTCACCAAATTCACAAACCAATGCTTTAATCTGTAGAAATTCCCTGAAGATTACCTGTATTGAAAAGCGCCTAATAAATGCTGGAGGCCGTAACGTTCTGATAATAACAACAAAGATGAAGACAATAGTCTGTAATGTGAATACTGTAAATAATGTCTTGGATTGTTTTGAGAAAATTGACAGTTTTTAATGTTGCTAAGTGATAGTATTTTTTTTAATGCTTTAAATATTAGAAACAAGTGAAGTTGATATAAAGATAAAATATTTATTTGCAAACATTTATTATTTTTAATTTTTATTCTTTTCACTCTTCTAGGGTTACCAATGTCGGACACGGCACCAGTGTTATCCAACATGGCGGCGCTACGTCTATTGCTTATTACCTGGAGTGCTGCTCGCTTTAGCCGGCTTGCTTCTATTCACCTTCTTTGAAACAGAGACCAACTATAAATATGTGCACAGTGTGTGGCATATTCTCATTGCCATGTCCATAGTGTTCCTGCTTCCACGACGCCGCTGTCCACCTGATGAAGACAAAGGTAACGATGCTGATTCTGAGATCACCATGAACAGTTTCTTAAACAGTGCCTTAGTCCTAGAATGAGGCTTAAAGGAGGATGGAATCAATCAGTTGACATTATTATTATTATTATTAATATTATTACTATCAGTATTATTATTACTGCTCTCATCATCACCACCATCATTATAATTATTATTATTATTATTATTATTATTATTACTACCAGTCTTTTATTATTATTACAGCGTTCATCATCATTGTCGTCATCATCAATATTATCATCATCATTATTATTATTATTATTACTATCAGTATTATTATTATTATTATTATTGCTCTCATTATCATCATCATCAATATCATCATCATCATTATTATTATGATGGGTTCTGAATTTGGTGAATATTTGCATAGAAATTAGATGATTGGCTGTTAGCTGCAATGTGTTTGCATTTTATCACACTGGAAAGGAGATTTGGAATCAAGAGAAAGAAACGAGAAATGCAAAGCAAGGGAAAGTAAAGAAAGAAAGGCTTTCCATATAAACTATGTATTGTGCATTCATTTTTGTATATAAAAATAAAATTTATATACATCAACCTATATATATATATTTATATATATATATATATAATGGGTGTCTCCATCAAAATGTATACACATTTGTTAACAACAGCTGTGGTAGTTACTTGAAAGTTAAACACTTAAGTGAATCAAACACATTCAAGATAAAGAGGAAATGTTACAAAGGTAATTGACTAACATGCCTCTTGTCATCATGTGATATTCCCATTGATTGTAAGACAAAAGAGAACAATCAGTTCATCAACTTGTAACGTTCTTCCGAATACTTGTAATAAAGATTCATTTAACCAGGGTGTTTGAATTTTGCAGTTGTGCTGTCATATCCTGCTATGGCAACAGCTAAAAATGACCTTGGCTGAAATAAAGAACTAACTTACTGATTCTGACATGGGCAGTGGGAGGGGGTGCACTCTGTACAGTGACATGGGAAGTAACACGTGTGAATAATGCAGAGTTCTAAAGGTTAAGTTTAAACACTTAATGCTTTTATTTTAAAGCTTGTCTCTAACCTTTATTCTTTAATTTGCAAGTGTTCAATTTATTTTCACATAATAACCAGAGCTGCTGTTAACAGAGTCTACACTTTTTAGTGGGGAGGCAGTCAAAACATCATTAAAGTGAAAAAGGCAAAAAAAAAGAAGAAAAAAAAAAGAAAGAAAGAAAACATTAATGCACAGAAATCTTAACTAGGATCCATTTATACGAACATACTTTCACAAGGGCATGATATATGTAAAATATATTCTTATCTTCATTCGTATATGAAAACCAAAATTTCCAAAATATTTTTGTTTGCTTTGTGTAAAAATGGAAACAGTATATTATCTATTTATTTATACCTTCATTGATCTGCTGACCTGATTTGCTGTTCATCATGAGGTCTATCTTGGTCACTTTGTAAACTTACAATGTCCTTGTCTTGTTTTATTTCTGATTAATTTAACATGTGCTCTTAATGGACGTACATCTGCAGTGATTTTCTGTTATTACTGCTGAGAAGACACTATCCCAAGCTAATGAGCCCCATTTGCATTGGTTTTGATGTCAGAGTATTTCTTGATTGCATCTGCTTTGAAGCGCCTTAAATTCTTTATTAAATGAGATAAACAGTTTTCAGAAATCTTGGATCTTCTAGCCTGCAAAAAAATGGAATATCAACAGGGTGGTTTTTCCCTTGACACCACTATTATTTTTAACTACCTTCACTCCTCACCAATGTTTATTGTTTTAAAAAAGCAATGATTAGAATTGTATTAAAAACTAAACATATGATGAAAGTGAATTTATAAGTTTTTTTGTTCTTGAGAATTTACAACAAAAAACATTAAACACTATTTATTTAATAGATTGCTTATTTACAACAATAATTTTATATTTACAACATTCTAAAAACTGGTACATTTAAAACTAATGCAATGCAATATTTATCATTTACTAATTTATAAAGAAATAAATATGAAAACAATTTTTATTCAAAAATTTATAAACATTTACTAAATTATTAAAATATGTGAACCAATTATCAGGAAATCCTTATTATTTACCATTTTATAAAGATTGAATCGAATGGCAATAAGTCAAGGTTTTGCCAACCATTCCAATAAACAATATAAGAAATAAATAGTGTTTATTATTTTTGTTGCCAATTCTCAAGGACAAAAAAAATGGATAAATTTATTTTCAAGTGTTCAGGTTTTATTAAAATTCTAATCATTGCTTTTTAAATAAGACAATAGCGGTTAAAATAATAGTAGGGTCAAAGAGAGAACTATCATTTTGACATCCCATTTTTTTTTTGTAAGCATGAAACTCCAAGATTACCCAGTTTTCTTTATTAAATTTAAACAGGATAAATAAATTGTATGGTCATCGTTGCAGAAATTAAACAAAAGAAAAGATACAAATTCTGATGAACTTTACTAATTTATCTGTTTTCAGATGTTTTTTCTTTTTTTTTTTTTAAATTATTTTCAGTCAAGTCAGAAATATTTTAAGTGAATTACAACTTCTTTGTTTTTTTGGGCATGTGACCTGTTGGACATAAATAATCTATTAGAGCAGTTGGCGATGTAGTACTAGATTTTGTTTCTGATATAAGTTCTCCAAAGTGGAAGGAAACATTAAAATCAGTTTTCAAATGTGTTCAGATTTCTAATTTAAGAAGAACATTCTCAATGCAACCAAGCATATTTGTAATAAAAATTCAATTATAAACATACATACACACACATACATATATGTATATATATATATATATATATAAATATGGTGCGTGCCTGTATGTATATATATATATATATATATATATATATATATATATATATATATAGACACATAGGTGTGTGTATATGATATATATGTGTGTGTGTATATATATATATATATATATATATATATATATATGGTATATGTGTGTGTATATATTGTGTGTATATATAAAATATATATATGAGTGTGTGTGTGAGTTAAAGATCAAATATGGATCAGAATCTGAGGGGATGGTAAAATAAAACAGTTTGTTTTCACTCAATCTCTGACTAAGCTTTAATAACAGTGAAATATGTTAGATTGATATAAGTTTCCCATTTCTTATTTTATTTTACTATATATATATATATATATAGTTTGTTTGTGTATATGTGTATACTTGCATAATATATGTACATATACATATTATCATGTTAATATCACAGTATTATATACACAGATCAATATCATGCATGCAAACACATTGCAAGTCTAATAAATGTACATAAGACAAAATCGATACAGGTATTCCCACAAAAAATTTATCTATGCACAATCATACATTTTTATGTATGTACTTGATTATATGTATATCTATTTGTAATATATGCACTGGTATTCCAGCCACAGATTGTCTGGCACCTCTTTTAATCCATACAAAATTATGAGTAAGCATTTGAATCTCACATGATTACCAGAATAAATTAATCTGGCAAAGATTGGTTGCATTGTGTGTCATATAAGCTTAATATGAAGTTTAAAACAGCAATCCTGAATAGATATGAGAGATGTGTAATTAGCTGGTGACACAGGCATCATTGAATTGTTATTTTGTAACTGATGTTGGTCTTGCAAAATGGTTAATCTGGCATGGTTCTGGTACCAAGAATGTCAGAAAATGATGGGTGGAATACCTGTATTTGCATATACTTATAAGAATTGCATTTGCGTATACATAGACATAAAAATACTTTGTATATATGTTATATAGTTCATTAAATATCACAAGGAACTTATCCTTAATTTTAATTGTTTTATATATATATATATATATATATATATATATGCACCTATTTCTTTTAATTTGTCATTATCTCATTATTAATTTTCTACACTCACAGATGAGCAAATCCATAAGAATCAACCATTCTTTTCTTTTTTTTTGTTTTTTCTTACTGCTCATTAAATGGCTCTTACATTAAATATGCATTTATCATTTCGTGTTATAATTTCAAGAGGATTCAAGGTAAAGATATTAAAAATACTTTCAGATGACAGGGATAAAAAGATTAATGATGGCATCTGTTAGCTGTTACAGTGGACAAAGGTTACAAATGCGAACAACGTTCAGTTGAACGTCTCAATATCGTGTTAATATCATGCTACAAAATCCTCAAAGTGAATTGAACACATTCATGGGATTTTTTGTATATATTTATATACAGAAAAGAACATATCTCTGAAAAGGAAAGAAATATATATTTATATGGTTTACTGTAGTCTGTGTGTGTTTGTGCTGTTCCACATGGTTTGGTGAAATAAAAAGCTAGTTTCCTTGGGGGGATAAGAAGTCTGTTCTCCTGGGACCCAAGAAGCATTCCTGGAAGTGAAATGTGAAGGGTCTTGTCACTACTGTTTCTTGTGGCTTGAGAGAACAAAAATAGAAAGACATTTTATATTTTTTTCTTTCATACAGCTTATTAGGTATTACCATGCCACCTAATGGGAATTAAGGGAAGTGCTCTAGCAACTAATGTGTGGTAATCTAACAATATCAAAATCTTAACTGATTCAAATTTCATTTATTTTTCTTAATTCATTAGAACACTTCTTGTTAAATATTATTTTTATTTAGGTATAACAGAAATTTCTTCCTTATCTAATTATTTCTTGCAACTCTAAAAATTACACATGCTTTTAGTTGGAGATGAAGTAGCCGTTATATTTAAGATCTTGTATTTTTCAGAGTGTTCTTGTTTCTCTAGAATACTTGATTTAATTTTTGCCTAAGTTATGTGTCTAATATTTGCACTGTCTGAATCTCTCAGAATAAGATATGCGTACAGTCCAAATCTCTTTGGGATAAAATATGTAAATGATCTGAGTTTCTCAAAACAAGATATGTGTATGGTCCAAGTCTTACAGAATAAGATATGTACACCATCTAAGTTTCTCAGAATAAGA